GATGAGTCAGCTGCTACCCATCTTGTGGTGTTAGATGTCTGATAAAGATGAGTCAGCTGCTACCCATCTTGTGGTGTTAGATGTCTGATAAAGATGAGTCAGCTGCTACCCATCTTGTGGTGTTAGATGTCTGATAAAGATGAGTCAGCTGCTACCCATCTTGTGGAGTTAGATGTCTGATAAAGATGAGTCAGCTGTTACCCATCTTGTGGTGTTAGATGTCTGATAAAGATGAGTCAGCTGCTACCCATAGTGTGGTGTTAGATGTCTGATAAAGATGAGTCAGCTGCTACCCATCTTGTGGTGTTAGATGTCTGATAAAGATGAGTCAGCTGCTACACATCTTGTGGTGTTAGATGTCTGATAAAGATGAGTCAGCTGCTACCCATCTTGTGGTGTTAGATGTCTGATAAAGACGAGTCAGCTGCTACCCATCTTGTGGTGTTAGATGTCTGATAAAGATGAGTCAACTGCTACCCATCTTGTGGTGTTAGATGTCTGATAGAGATGAGTCAGCTACTACTCATCTTGTGGTGTTAGATATCTCATAAAGATGAGTCAGCTCCAACCCATCTTGTGGTATTATATGTCTGATAAAGATGAGCAGTTTGGAGGTACTGAATTAATGGAAAACTTGTGCAGTGTTAAAGAATATGCTGAAAGAGAAAAAAAAAATTATATTGTAAACCAACAAAAATTTCAGTGTCTCAAGAAATAAACTTTATTAAGCAAAAGTTGATTTGTTTTTTAATTACAGACATAATTCCAAGAAAGATTAAAATTGCTGAATATTTAGAGATTTTGAAAAAAGTTGAAAAGGAAGAAGAAGAGAGAGAAGAAATTGATATTTAAATACCAATTTACAAATTATAAATATTTTTCTAGTGTTTTTTTAGTTTCATTTTATTTTTACACAAAATGATGTAATACTATTGTATCACTATATATAACTAATAAAAATTTCCCCTCTTGTATTTATTACCTTAATTATTCCACACAACATATTGCAGCCTAAATATTTTTATATCAGAACATTGTTTTCTCACAGTTGTTGTTGAATTTATTACCACTGAAAAATAAATTTTATTTTAAAATATTTCAAACATGAAAACTGTTTGCTTAGCATGAAATAAAGTTGAAATTGATTGTTAGGATATAAAAAAAAATATATTTCTAGTAAATCAAAAATTATTTATTTAAAATTATTTTACAGTTGGAAACAGTTGTAGTTGATGATGTGGTTTTTAAAATGTGAGAGACTAATGGTTGTCAGTTGTGGCTGATGATGTGGTTTTTAAAATGTGAGAGACTAATGGTTGTCAGTTGTGGCTGATGATACGTTTTTAAAATGTGAGAGACTAATGGTTGTCAGTTGTGGCTGATGATGTGGTTTTTAAAATGTGAGAGACTAATGGTTGTCAGTTGTGGTT